TGTTATTAATGTAAACGTTTAACAATGATTACAATTCCTCATCACTGTCCAGTTATGCTATAACTCAGCAAATAATGTTACCAAAAAATGCTGGGGACTATTAACCATTCTGAATTCAGCATTATAATGTGATGTAAAAAATCTCACTACTAATCTTCTCATGATATAGTGCAGCTTTGGCACTATGTAAATGGCTAAATCATTTGTCAGTTAAAAAAATTAAACTCTATTAACTAAATTATTCTGTTTGGCTGACGAACAGTTTAGAACATTCTCCCCCCTACCACCTCAACCCAGGAAGTGGTAATATCCATCAAAACTCAAAAATGTACTGGATATCAACAACAACTTACATGTATAAACGCTCGCTGCGAACACAATTGCACAGACTGAGGTACTTCCATCTTCTAAAAACATTTAAAAAGAATTAAAATCTACTGGTAATTGATATCCATCAATTTAAGCAAAGATCTAAATCCAGTTATGAAAAATTATACCCCAACAAATGCTCCATGGGACAGAATGCTGTCTACTACCGAAAGCCTTGGGGAGGTAAGCATTGATGTCTGCAGAGGGAAGCAGGCCAATTTGTAACAGCGGAAATGAGGGCATGTTTGAATATACTGCAGTTTTCACTTGATTAGTTTTGAAGGTCAGGAAGCATCTATGCAGACGATTCCCCAGGAGACAGAGTGAGTGTGTGTAAAGCATAGATTTCACATGGTCTGTGGATGAGTACTCTTAGTGTGCTATATATTATTTTCTAGTTCCATGGATTCTAATATCTTTATTCTGCCAAGTGTATACATCTGGATTCAGTGTAAACTATCAGCCGGTTCTTTAAAATGATAAGAGTTTGGCTACACTTGACACAAATCAAGCACTTGTTGACTGATTAAAGCAAGCATGGAACTTCAAACCCATAGAATTTTGAATGGTTAGATGCAGTACTAATTTTAATTCAGAATAGGAAGAGGATTTAATTTATTTTAAATGTTTAAGACGATAGAAAAACAATACAACAACTTGTATTTATATAGCGCTCTTCACACAGGATAGCATCCCGGAATACTTGACAGTGGCGCAGTCTGACACTGAACTTGCGGGAGAGGGAGGGGGGAGGTGATTGTAAGCACAATCAAAAAGGTAGGTCTTTAGGCAGGATTTGAAAGTGAGGAGGGAGGGGGCAAGGCGGAGAGATTGATGGGGGGGGAGGAGTTCCAGAGTTTGGGCCGTCGTGGCTGAAGACACAGCCATGATTGGTGGAGTAGAGGGGACGACGGACAAGCAGGAGGCTGGAGCCTGCCGAACGAAGGCAGTGGGTGGCGGAGTGGGGGGGGTAAACAAATCGGATAGGTCGGGAGGTGTGAGGGCATGAAGGGATTTGAAAATGAGTGAGAGGATCTTGAAATCAATCTGTTCGGTAATTGGGAGCCAGTGGAGCCTGGCAAAGACTGGTGTGATGGGGGTATGGAGTTTTGTACAGGTGAGTATCCAGGTGGCAGAGTTAATTAATTGAATTTTGTGTATGGTGGAGCTGGGGAGACCAGTGAGGAGGGCACTAGAATAGTCCAGCTGGGAAGTTATAATGGAGTGGACCAGTGTTCCAGCTGCATTGGTTTTGAGTTATGGATGGAGGCGGGCAATGTGGCAGAGGTGGAAAAAAGCAATACTGGTCAGGCAACGGATGTGGGGTAGAAAGGAAAGCTGGGGATTGAACCTGACCTCCTGAGTTGCACAGGGGTTCGGTGAATCTGAGGGAGAGTCCGGGGAGGTTGAGGAGTTCAAAACCCCAGGAGAGAAGACATTGATGGGAGCTAAAGAGTATCAGCGGCCTGGGAGTCGCAGCTGGAGGAGAAATAAATTTGGTGTCATCGGCTTACATCTGAAAGTTAATCCCATATCTGCGGATGAAATCACTGAGAGGAAGCATGTAGATGAGGAAAAGAAGTGGGCCAAGGATGGAACCTTGGGGTAACCTGCATGTGACCGAGCGTGGGTGGAAGTAAGAACCATTTGCCAAGATGTATTGTTGGCGGTTTGTTATGCAGGACTAGAGCCGTGCAAGTGCGGCCCAACTAAGCTGGATGAGGGAGGAGAGGTAGTGGAGCAAGATGGCGTGATTCAATGTGTTGAATGAAGCAGAGAGTGCCAGAAGAATGAGGAGACAGAGGAAACCCTGGTCACAGAGAAAGAGGTTGCCATTTATTACTTTGACAAGCGCTGTCTCTGTGCCGTGGGCAGGGCGAACACCGGACTGGGGGTGTTTGAGTAGGGAGTCGAGGGGGAGGTGTGAGTGAAGTTGATCTTCGACGATGCATTCCAAAACTCTGGCCAGGAAGGACAGGTTTGAGATGCGTCTGAAGTTTGTGAGGTTGGAGGGATCAAAGGTATGTTTTCTTTTAAGAGAAATGATGACAGAGGTTTTGAGGGGAAGTAGAACAGAGCCTGAGGAGAGGGACTGGAAAAACAATAGGAATCAACAAAAGGAAAAGATATTTCAACAGTCAAATGCTCACATCTGGCCTCAAATGAACACTTAACCATGGTAACCATGGTTATGGCATGGGCAGATACGAGACAGCCTAAACAAATTAATGTCATCCACTCATTCTTGGCAATTCAATCCTCACTAGAAATCATCTAAAACAAATCACAATGAGGCCATGGATACAAATTGAAATAGATAAATTAAGTTTAAAACTGCAGTAGCCAGTTTTCATATAGGTACGAATTCTAAAGTGCTTTTTGTCAGCGAGTGTTATTTCATATCAAAACATATTTCCAACTGCTCGTTCAGTTTTCTAATTTCCTTAGTTCCCTCCGGACAAGATAATTGCAATTTAATTACTAAGAAAATCAAATTTCTAAAACATCTCAATAACCAAAGAATTGAATTTACTAAACTACCTGCTGGGATAATTCACTGCTTCAAGCTTTGCCAGCACAAATAAATGAATGGTACCCTATAACACCAAGTGAAATAACCACCTGCAATATTAATACTGTAGAATGCAACATAAAAACTCACATCTAGAACTACAAAAATTGAACACTTTGAACCCGAGCAAAAAAGTAAGCGCTATGAAAATAGTGCATTTTGAGGTGTCCATCTTTGATCCAAGACATTTTAATTTATATCTGCTTGTTCATACTAAAAAAAGTTGATTTTTTATAATAATAATCCTTGAATTTGATAAGAGCGCTTTCTAGACATCTCAAAGCGCTTCACAGAATATACTGCAAAATGAACTGACTGCATTTTTTTGTGGGTGAATCACTTGTAAAATAGTTGGTGAAAATGAAGGACTCCTATTGAATTTGCTGTCTTACATTCAATGGAGGAAAAATTCCCCAAATGACCTTATGTCTGAACAATGATTGTATTGTGTTCTCTATGATGTTTTCAAAGCACTTCTGATTTCTACACTTTTGCCTTCCTTATTTGTTATTCAATATGTTCAAGATACAACTTATTAGATATATTGGGAAAAGGATATACAGCAAGCAATGGCAAATATAAAAATTTAAATCTGTTGTAATCCTTCATCTTTTGTTTAACCACTTTCCAATGAAAAGAATGCAAAGCACCTGGTACGAGACCCTTTGGGACTGTTTGTGATGATGTGGATTTATGCTCATGTGAGAGTCAATGTATTACTACACATCATGAATAACAGTTGGTAATTCAGGAAGGAAAAAAATCAGAAATGCTTTTTAAACAACCTAAAATGGCTATTCACAAGACAAATTTCAATTAGAAAAATTACCCTGTTTCTGGCAGGAATTTTGCTAATGTACATCTGTGTATCTTGTACAATTGATTTTTTTTCTAATACTGCAGACCGTTGAGGAAATATTTATTGGGAAACACATCAGTGACATTAATCTTTCTCACTGCAACTGACAGTAATAATTTGTTGCACTGCCGTCTTTACAGACTGATCTCATTATTAACGATGATAGTTTATCTAGGTCTGGATACAAAGTGCAGTACGTTTAATCCATTGTTGGGCAGGGAGGGGTAGAACAGTCAAGCCAAATCTTGTTCTCAGGAAGTGCACTTTCCAACTGGGGCTGTTGGAGAACTGTTGGGAGGATGAAATGCAGCTGATTTTCCTTCCATACTTAACAGGTCGGTGAGACCAAGTGCTGAACCCAACTGCTGCCCTACCTTACAACAACAACTTGCATTATTATAATGCCCTTCACGCAAGGTAGCGTCTTGGAGGACTTAGTCAATTATCTCAATACAAACCAGGATTCAAACCTACAATTGTACTTGTCTATATAGTCCTACATTAGGGTAACCAGGAAACTATTATGCAAAATATATTTGAACAGTACCATACACCAAAATTATGTTTTTTTTCCACATCTTCTACAAAAAATAACAACACATTTATATAGCATCCTTCATGCGGGGTAACATCTTGGCGTGTTTAACAGTGGCAAAGCTTGATGCCGAGCCCGGAAAAGAGGGAACATGACAGTAGACATGGTCGAAGAGGAAGGTCTTCAGGTGCGATCTGAAGACAGGCCAAAAGGAAAGGTGGAGGGTTTGAGGCAGAGAGTTCCAGATTTTGGGGGCTTGGCGGCTGAAAGCATAAAAGACTGCAGGCATTGTTGGGTGACAAAGTAAGCACAAATTACTTCATTTTTCCTCATTTTATTTTAATAGATGTGAAGATGATGGAGTTCCTCAAAAGCTGGTGGTACTTAGTGTCTATCATTTTGATTATCTCTGTAAGATTATTTCATTGCAGACATATTGAATGTAATAATGTCACTTTCCCATTATGTTCTGGTGGCCAAAACATGCTGAGGGAAACTTCATATAATAAATACATTCCAACATTCTAACACAGATCATTGCTATCTTGCAATGTTTTTGGTATCACAAGTAAAATATTTGCTCCTAAAACTGAATTGTAAAGAATTTCAAAATAAAACCAGTTAAAATGTATTATGAGAAAAAGAGTTGGGAATTGGGTACATACATGACTGTGTTGATACCAGCAAGTTGCTGAAACAGCTGCAATCCACATCCAACTATCAGTGCTCTTCGAGTTGGGGGGTAGTTGAGCATATTCCATATCACAGTACCACCTATCGTGAAAAAGAATTCATGTTATTAATCTGTACGTACACAGTACAATTTTTCACTGCACCTCAAAGGTTGTACTCAAGAAACTTTAAGCAACAAGTGCAATGTTACTTGGTTTGTTGAACCACACTGCAAAGTTTACCTCTTCGGTATCCACCACAATTTACGTGAGATTTTCTGCAACTGAAATAAAGGTTATCAGTACTGTACTAACTGGTATTTTGGCGAATTCAAATCACAATGAGTCACATCATTTTCCTGCCCAATCTTGCCTCTGCTAACCACTGCATTTTAGCAATGAAACTAAAGCAAAATTTAAAGCAATTACTTCTCGTTCAAAACAACAACAAAATTACATTTGTATAGCGCCTTTCAAGTTGGAAGGATACTCCCAAGGCGCTGAATAATTGGAGTTTCAGTACTTCCCTAAGACATACAGAGAATAAAATATTAGAAAATCATTATTTTCTTACATTGACAGTGTACAATATCATGGAGGGAGGCAAGTGATCAAGGAGGTAGGATTTTAGAAATGTTTTGAAGGCATTAGGAGGTGCTGGATGGCAAAGGCGTTATGGGGGGGGGGGGGCGGGGAGGTTGTTCAATAACCGTGGGATATAAATAACCGAAAGATTGGCTACCGATAATGGGTTGGAGGGATTGAGAAATTTCCATTCAAAAAAAAAATTGATGCGATTATGCATGTGGTGTGATAGGTTTCTGATTTTAGTATTTTCTTGTGCCCTAAATGGGATACCTAGTAATGATGAACAGACATGAAAAAGCACTGCACCTTTTCACAAATTACACATCTTGTAATGACAGATGTGCTCCAATGATACGACTTACCACTACATGGGATTTACACAAAGATTGCAATCCCAAACAACTAAGCACTCTTACCTTAAATAATAATAATAATCCTTGCATTTGATATAGCGCTTTTCACGTCTTCTAGACGTCCCAAAGCGCTTCACAGAATATACTATAAAGTGAATTGACTGTATATTTGTGGGCGAACACGGCAGCCAATTGAACACAGCAATGTCCCACAAACAGTCGTAGATTGAAAATGACCAATTTATTATTGTTTTTGGTTTTGGATGGATTATTATTAGGCGTGTGGAGTAAGGAAACTTGCCCAAGGTTTCGCCCTGCCTGGAATTGAACTCAGGTCTCTCGCTTGCAAAGCAAGTGCTCTAACCACTGAGCTACAGGACTCCACGAATAAATAACAAACCAAAGTATGTACAGTTTAATTAATCTATGCAGTTTTACAAATTACACCATTTTATATATGGGCCAGAGTGAAAATAGTTAATAACCTGCCCATGTTCATTTCAATCGAGGCAGAGGTTGGGGTTGCTGCAATTGGTCTCGGTCCTACTGGCTTAAAGCATGAAAAATATAAAATCAGCTGTGGCTCCTGCGCTTCTCCGGCTCGTCAGGCATAATAAATTAGGCAGAGTTTCCACTGATTGAATATGCATATATGGGAATATGGGAATCACTCAATAGGAACCATATTAAGCTCAGCTCAAATCATCCACTCGCATTAATATCACAGCAAGGTACCAAATGAGAGCCAACGTCCATGGATCATTAGCAGAAATCAAAACCTTTGGGCAATCTTAAAATGAGAGCTGCAGTTTAAAAATGAATCCAGGACACATTTTGTCACATATTTTGAGAATATGAAATTGCAATTTCCGAAGACAAAACGTGTAGAATCAACTGAGTTATTCAAAAGTAAGATATACACTCAAGAACTGAGAGAAGCTGTTGAGACAACAATGTTTCATACTGGCCATCAGGTTAAGGAAAATAGTACCTGCAACCGACCAACCATAACTGAGTAAATAACTTCAGAGCTGGTTTGATTCACTATTGAATATGGGTCCTGCAGGAAATCTAATGCTTTGAAAAATCCACTGGAGCAAATAATAGCCTCTACAATAGAACCTAAAGATTGAAGTTGATCCTTCGGTTTCTTAGAAGCTGAAATAGTTGTCTTCAATGCTGAAAAAATAGTAATATCCACCCTGTAGAATGTTTGGCTTCTTTTTACGTAGAAATGTCAAGCAAAAATCAGTAAGGTTTACTGGATATATCCAGTATAACTGAGCTGATGCTTTTATGCCTAAAGTTTATTTTACCAAAATCAATCTATATATATATATATACACACACACACATATATTTTTTTCCTCCTGAATTCACATGTTGCATTCACATGCTTACCTGCACCTGTTACTTTTTCCTCCTCTTCAATGCTATTTATGATGCTTTCATATTCATCATCAATATTTTGGTGTCCACGAATCTGACTTAGGACTCTGCGTGCTTTCTGAGTCTTGCCTTTTTGAATCAGCCAACGTGGGCTTTCTGGAAGGAAAAGGAATCCCAGAAACTGGATGATGGCTGGAATGCCTGAAAGACCCAACATGTACCTGTAAAAGTTTAAAAAAAGGATAAAATTGACTCATCAGAAAGATGAAATATATTGCACAATCAAAAAAAAATACACATTAGTTGTAAATTTGGTTTAAAAAACATTGATATTAGAAGAAAAGAAAAATAGGCATGAGGAACTCGGAGGGTGGGTGCTATCAAATGCGCCAAGGGCTTTCTTCATTGAAAACAATCTTGTGACCTTGTACTCTATTTTGGCTACAACATTGTACTCTTCAGATACATGCTGTCATCAATGTAGATATACATTATACACAAGTCATCATCAAATACTCCTGGGCTAAGAAAGGGATCTAAGATGAAAGGTGCATTTGATAGCATTCTTCCAGAACATGCACCCACCTTCCTGTTTTCCCATGTAAATGAGCGCTGTGTCTTGGCCTCAACCACGCTTTCTGTTAACCTGTTCCATTCATTAATTATCCTTTGGGTAAAGGAATACTTATTGGTTCCCATCCTAAGATATAGACTAAAAAAAAGGTGAAGACAAAATGGTGCAATTTTCTACAAATATCTACCCCCATTTACACATGTTGCTTTCACCATCTATGTGATTAGAAGCAAGAAAACAGCATTTATGTTTGGCATCCCCATACTTTTCACCAGTGGGTGAGGAGAGCTCTGCAATATGCATAAATGTGTATGTTCATATTGTTAATTTTCATTTAATATTTTAAGACTTTTAAGATCTGATTGTATGCAATAGAAGCACAGAAATGTAATGCATAGAAGAAATCTATTTGGCCTATCATATCCTTGCCGTCTCTCTGAAAAAGTAACTCATTCCATCCCATTTATCTCCCTTTTCCCCATCCATTGAAACTGGTGCAACAGTGGATAAACAACTTTCCGCAATATTCTGATTATTGACCCAGTCCATTTTAATTTAGAAAAAGTCATTATTATTTTCCACAATTCTTTCTATACTCAGAAGACACATATAGTTTACATCATTACAGAATCTGAGAATTAAATTTCAAAAAGTTTCATAAATGTAATGTTATGAACACCCAAAACCTTTAGAATATTTATTATGCTCATAGCTAGAAAATATAACTAAAGGGCATGAGAAATTTAGAATATGTAACAAGAATGCTACAAATATTTTAGAATACCATATCCCTGCTTATATAGTTTTGAGATCATTAATGTACTATATTTAACTATTTTCAGAGTACCGTGCCTTACTGAGTTTTATCAAACTCAGAAGCTTAGATTTAAAAAGGAAACTGTACAGGCAAACAATATATTGATGCTACGAAGCATCAGCATAGCGGGGTCCACGTATAGCCAGCGCTGTCTGGTGAGCTTCCTGCATACAGTGCACAGAAGCAGAAGGTCCCCCTGCAACCCCATGTAAAGAAAGAGTTACAGGTCTCCATGGTCAAGGAATGATACGGTTGCTCATTATACGTAAGGTGAAGGAGGGTTCATGCAGAGATTGTGACCAGCTACAGCTAGCTAATGTATTTTTCCTTTTAGAATATTATTCTTTCCCATTTGGTATGCACTAATGAGGGAGCAAACAGGTGATTTTCATCTTAAATGTGATAAGAGCCTAATTAGGACAGAGTTGGGGCCATGTGTCTGACCAAGCAAAAAAATGTCGAGGAAGATGCTTTATGGTCTGGGAGCTATTGAATGACCTGGGTGTAGATGTTTTATGATTGTAGAGGTTTCACAATAAGGTGATGGATCCTTGGACCAGATTCCACCTTGGTGAGAGCACAAATGACCATAAGATGATTGCTCAGAACTGTCCAAATATACAATTGGACAATTCAACTTTGAACTGTGATTGAAGAAAACAACCTTCAAACTCTGCCTCTGTCTGCAAGGGTCACATGAACTGACTCTGGGGTGGATGAATGTTTAGCTAAGCTCAGGGAGGAAGAGTCTGGAGCCTTGCACCACAGACATACTGCCAAATCTTCCCAGAGAATGTAGCTGATCACACCCACTCTGTGTTAGTTGCAACTCTATTCCGTTATCAAAATATTGATATGTTGTTACTGTACTATACTTTGCTTGAGATTTTGTTATGTACATTTGATTACATTTATTCCCAATAAAGAACTAATTTGATTGAAACCATGACTGACATGGTTTGTTGCCTTGCAAGTAATCCTTACACCAGCAACTGCTGGAAACACTTGCAAGATCAATTATAGTCTTTCTGCATACATCATAAAAGGTTTATGAGCCAAACCAGTGTAATAGAAAAGGGTTGGCATCAATTGTACATCAATTGTTGTCAGAAATACTGCATCTGCTCAAAGGAAATCGTATTGGAGTGTTCAAGATCTAAAGGATTCAGATAGATAAACTGAGTTCTAAAATGTGTTTAACAAAAGCCACACCAAAGGCTTTTAGGGCTCAGTTTATCTATCTGATAAAGCTGCACAACAAGGGAGCACTGACTCAAACTCACAAGAAGGAAGATGAGTAAAATCATTTTAATTTAATTACTTTACACAGAGAGTGGTAAATATGTGCAATGGCTGCTCAGAGAAATGGTAGATGCAGATTGTGCCAACGCATTTGAGAGGGTATTAGATAGTTGATTGGAAATAAATCAATTAAGAGGAATAGGAATAGTGTACAATTTATTTAAGCAAAAAGGCCCAAATGTCTCTTTTACATTCAAATGTGCATTTAAATGCTACAGAAATTTCAGAAGAAAGGAAAGAAAAATTAACAATTATTTTTACAACTAAGATTTATTCCAAATGATAGGTGTAGTTATTCTACACAAAATGTTTTTAATATTCCACGTAAATTGCTCAATTCCTCTGTACCTGTATAGTTTATAGTTTACTCTACTAACTGTCCTAATATTTGCTTAGAGGGCAAGACAGTCCACCTCATGTAACATTTACTCCATATAACATGTCAACTTCCAATTCTTTTTAGAAGGCAAAATATCAAGAAGTATTTAAAAATTGTAGCAACCAGCAAAACTCATACAATACAAATTTACATTTATATTCCACCTTTCACATTAGGAGGATGTCCCAAAGCAGCCTTAACAGCAGCTGGGATTGGAAGCCAAAGTGGGTCGGTCGGGAGGGGGAAAAGATGACTGGAAGCATCTTGGGACATCCTCCCAATGTGAAAGGGGCTATACAAAAGTAATTTGTTGTTGTTGAAAGCACAGTCACAGTTTTAAGTGTACTTTGTGTTAAGTAAGAAGCATTCGATAACTGACAGCAGGAGGAGCAGCCAATTGCATCTGCAGATAAGTGGAAACATTTTACATCTAATCCAACACCATTTTCTTGTACATTGTGCTTTTTTTTAATGCATTTTTTAATCACTAAGGCATTTAACTTTTGTTGAATATATTTTCTAGGCTTGATCAGCTGAACAAATAAATAAGTGACCATCAAGCTTAGGTTTTATGAATTAGTCTAAAATTTAAACCCCAGTATATAAGTCCCTCTTCATATAAAATGTCATCTATCAGACATTTATATATATATTTTTAAAACTATCAGTATATGTAGGGAGATGTTTCACTACTTACCGCCAGCCATTCTTTTCAAGGTAGCTGAAGGCTCCATCCATAACACTTGCGACAAACTGTCCTCCAGTAATGAAGAGGGTGTTAATGGTAACTAATCGTCCTCTCTGATCAGAAGGGGCGGCCTCTGCAATGTACACTGTTACAGTCATGGAAGACAGACCTGGGAAAAAATGAAAGATAAAAACAAGAGCTGAAGACATCAAAATAATCTACAGAACATCTTTTTGGGGGGGAAACAGTAATTTAGTCAGAAAGGTCACTAGTCTATGGCATATGCTGATCCAGTGTGAACGCAGTGTTCTTGACAATAAAGTTCAAATGAGTGTATGCACTTTGTGTAGATCCTGCACTTGATATACTACAGTATAATCAAAGGAACCGATTGGATGGGTATGATGACCTTTTTATTCCATTAGTTTGACGATCTGTTCAGGTTAATATACAACACTGCACTTAGAAAATTTCAGGATGTAAAATTATTGTTTATTTTTTACAACGATAATGGTAGCTTTATTTTCTTTGGTCAGCCAGGTGTCTGACACATGTGGAAACCGATCACCATGCTTAAAAGTATCCATGTATCCCACCTACACATGGAAATCCAAAAGATGTTTGTTGCAATGGAGCGACACATTATGCTTAACTAATTCTGGAAAGGTTGGCAAAAGCCAAGGCTTGGGGACCCCAGAATGTGCGTTGGAGTACTGCTGGAGTCTAACCAGCTGAACCCGCATAGCTTGCCATTGAGAGCACTGCAGTGCAAGCTTTCCTGCTGCTTGTGCAGCTAGGACTTTGGTTTGTAGGGTTAGAGAGCTAAGAGGGAAGAGTCCCTGGCCCCAGTGTCTGGGCTGCCCTTTCCAGACCTGTTGATCATCGGCAGTGCCCTGGAATACTGTGGATGCACCTGATTCAGGAATTGGACGACTGAGACATCCACAGAGGGCGGATCGATTCTGACATTCCGTTCCAAGCCATTATTTCAGCTACAAATACAAATAGCTACAAAGCTACAAATGTTACCACCAGATGTTCTTTTGCCATTCTTTCAAGAATCACTCATAAACTATTCTTTAAGATGATTTTCAATAAAAAAATTTTGCAAAGACAACCTTCAAAAATTAACTGCCACAGTTCTTTACACTCTTAACTGTGAATTACATGAGCTTCAAACCTTTACTAACACAAATGTTCAAATATTTTGTGCCTCTCATGCAACACACAAACAGCACTGGAGAGTAGCTTTTCATTTATGTTTAAGCCTAAACTAGCTACATTTCTTAGAAACGCAATGCACTTGAGGTGCTACATTGAATTAATATTATTTCAAGTTGATAAATTGCAGACAACAAAGCACTATCGTTTTTTGGGGCCAATCATGGGTCATCGCAACATTCTTCGGCAAAATTAAAATCTTAAATTTTTGCGTTAAAATTCTGTTTCTTAAAACAGAAACATGACACCTGTTAAACAAATGTTAAAAAACAAAATAGTGGAAACTGTAGGAATTTCTCGGTACAATCATGACTGTAACAGATCAGTGTGGTTGGTATAAGCGCCCAACTCAAAATTTGAAAAAGGATTAATTTTGATTAAGGCACCAATTGCAAAAAGCAAGAACATGCAGAGGTGTGTCGGTTCTGAACCAAGGAGATTGTTTATGCTGTAAGTTTGCAGTACTGACTAGACAAGTGGGAAAAAGGGCAGAAAACAACAAATTAACCAAAGCTGCTTCCCCTTCCCATCCTGTGTGAAGAATTCACAATGACTACACTCTTTGGAGTCAAAGAGTTGAGTAAAGTGTTTACACCAGAAATATTCAAAAGGTTAAGATTAAGAATGTCATGAGGACACTGATGAATTTGAATTCCTGATCTGAAGGTACTAAACTGGCAAACCCAAATGAATCACACATAAATCTCAAGTGGGAAAAGCACAGCTTTTAAAGTTGCAACAATATGTTTTTCAAAGTAATACAAAGCTTATGAGTAGGGAGCACCATAACCAGCGTTATTTTAAACTATGGAGCAGTAGGGTATTCGTTTCCATTCACTACAAGTCAGATGAAAACACAAAGCACTAAAAAAATGTTTCAAAGCTGGAATAGAATGCTCATGAAATAACTAGGAAGAAAAAAATCACTGTAAAACCATATAAAATTATAAAGTATTTGCTACAGAAATGACAATGATTCACATATATTCACACCATTACTAATGGGCAAATTGTAAACATTAATTGTGACATTGTGAAACAATACCTACCAAAAGTCAAAAAAGCACAGCACTCTTTAAAAGGCAGATCAGATGATCAGTATTCAAACATTGGGCCCAGGTGTGAAATAACAGTATGCACATTATTGTGAAACCTAGTCCAGTGAAACCAATGAATTCAACAAACAATGCTTTGGCACATAAAACACAATTAAGTCATAATAATAATAATCCTTGCATTTGATATAGTGCCTTATTCACGTCTTCAAGATGTCTCAAAGCTCTTCACAGAATATATTGTAAAGTGAATTCACTATATGATTTGTGGGCAAAATGCGGCAGCCAATTGCACACAGCAGTGTCTCACAAACAGTTGTGTACTGAGTGACCACATTTTTAAAAAATGTTGTAAGTGATTATTACTCCCAGTAAAATGATCCGCCAATCAACTAACAACCAGGTTTCTACTTACTGCTAGATAAACAGAGGCGTGTGGTGTAAGTAAGGAAACTTGCCTAAAGTTTCGTTCTGGCAGGGAATCAAACCCAAGTCCTCTTGCTTTGAGGTGAGTGCTCTAACCAATACGCTACAGGATTCCACAAAACAAGCGTATTCACCTGTATCGAGCTTATTTCATCCTCATTTCCTGAGCATTCTAAGCCACGGTCCTAACTGAAGCACCAAACAAATTATAATAAACACTACTTTCAAGACCACAGATAAAACTCACTAATTTCAATTAATTAATTATCCCGCAAGGGAGAGGACCTAGGTTTGATTCCCGGCAGGGCTAAATTTTAGACAAGTTTCCTAACTCTACATGCCTCTGTTTACCTAACAGTAAGTAGGAACCCAGTTTCATAGATTCATAGATTTCATAGAACGTTATGGCACAGAAGGAGGCCATTCGGCCCATCGAGTCTGTGCCGGCTCAATGACAGAGCAAGTCACTTTCACTAACCCCAATGACCAGCTTTCTCCCCATAATCCTGCAAACCCGTCTTCCCCAGATACCTGTCCAGTTCTCTCTTAAAAGCTGTTATCGAATCGGACTTCACTGCCCTTTCAGGCAGATCATTCCAAATTCGAACAACTCGCTGAGTGAAAAAATGTCTTCTAATCTCCCCTCTGCTTCTTTTGGTAGATATCTTAAGACTGTGACCACGGGTCACAGACACACCTATCAGCGGAAATAGCTTTTCCTTATCTAGCCTGTCGAAACCTTTCATGATCTTGAAGACCTCTATCAGGTCCCCGCGTAACCTTCTCTGCTCTAATGGGAAAAGTCCTAACTTCTCCAGCCTGTCCTCATAGCTAAGGTTCCCCATTCCTAGTATCATTCTCGTGAATCTTCTCTGCACCCTTTCCAGTGCCTTAATGTCCTTCCTGAAGTAAGGTGCCCAGAACTGGTCGCAGTACTCCAGCTGAGGCCTAACCAGTGTTTTGTATAGATTAACCATAACCTCCCTACTCTTATACTCTACGCCCCTACTAATAAAGCTCAGTACACCAATCCATCTGAAATCCATCTGCCACATGTCAGCCCATTCCACCATTCTGTGTATGTCTGCTTGCAGTTGGGTAGTCCTCCTCACTACTTACTACCCTACCTAACTTTGTATCATCTGCAAACTTGGAAATAGTGCTCCCTATGCCCAAGTCCAGATCATTAATATATATTAGAAAGAGCAGTGGTCCCAATACCGATCCCTGGGGGACACCGCTGCACACCTCCTTCCATTTCGAGAAACACCCATTAACCACTCAGCCAGTTCTTAATCCAAACTACCACTGTCCCCTTAATACGTGGGCCTCAATTTTTTATTAATCTCTTATGCGGTACTGTGTCAAAAGCCTTTTTGAAATCCATGTAAATAACGTCCACCGCATTTCCCTCATCAACCCTCGCAGTCACTTCTTCAAAAAATTCTATTAGATTTGTTAGGCAAGATTTGCCTTTAACAAATCCATGTTGGCTGTCTCTAATTACCTCATGTTCCTCTAAGTAGAGATTTATTCTGTCCCGGATTATGGTCTCCAGTAGTTTTCCTATTACCGAAGTTAGGCTGACTGGCCTGTAATTTCCGGGTTTGTCTTTCTGCCCCTTTTTGTAGAGTGGGGTAACATTAGCCACTCTCCAGTCTCTTGGCACCACTCCTGTGTCCAATGAAAATTGAAATATAATGGCCAAAGCCTCCGCTATTTGAACCCGTATCTCCCACAGCAACCTTGGGTGAAACCCATCTGGTCCTGGTGACTTATCAATTTTGAGCCCAGTCAATCTTTTCAGAACTTCCTCTCTGTCTATAGTAATCTGATCTATTTCCTCTACCCTCTCATCCAATACTGCGGCATTTGGGGCATCCGTTTCCGTTGTGAAGACAGATGCAAAGTACTCGTTCAGTACATCAGCCATGCCCTCCGCCTCCACAACAAGATTGCCATCATTGTCTTTGATTGGCCCCACCCTACCTTTAACTAACCTTTTTTCCTTTATGTGCTTGTAAAATATTTTAGGATTCCCCTTTATGTTACCCGCTAACCTCTTCTCATGCGATCTTTTAGCCTGTCTTATCACTCTTTTAAGATCACTCCTGCATTCTCTATAATGCGCTTTGCCATCCTCAGTACCTTGCGTCTTCCAATTTTCGTACGCCATCTTCTTCTTTTTCATCCTAGACAGAATATCCTTGGTCATCCAGGCTGGCTTGGTTGTCGCACATTTCCCTTTTGTGGGAATATATCTATTTAAACTTTGCGCTATCATATCTTTGAAGATCTCCCATTGCTCATGAGTCGTTTTACTGCTAGTCTTACTTGCCAGTCCACCAACTCAAGGTCCCTTTTTAGCCCATCAAAAATTAGCCCTTTTCCGGTCAAGCATTTTCACCCTTGACTGTCCCAGGTCATGAGTAATCTAAATCTAATAATATTATGGTCACTGTTACCA